TTTTGCCTTTTTGGTTTTCCTGCAGCGAGCCTTTTTGCTTTGCTTTCCATTGTCTTTGTTTCCTATTGGTTGGTTGGTTGTCTTTCCTGCACCTTTCTTTGCATGATCTTGTTCCTTGCTAGAAGCATTCTTTTACATTTCAGAGTATGTTTCTTGGCTTTGCTCTGCATCCGATCTCTGCACCACAACTCTATGTCAGACTTTATTTTGGGGTGGAGGAATGTACATAGGTCATAGACTTGTACAAGAAAAGCTATTGTGCTGTGCCCAGAAGCTGATGAAAAAGAGCCCTGAGGAGCCAGGAGCACAAAGGCAGCGTGTTTCTGTGAAGGCCGCAGCACAAGCACGTGTGAACCTTGAAGGGCTGCTTTGTACCTCTCCAGGGACTGCTTTGGAATGGGGAATTTTCTGGATTTGTTCCCAGTTGTTGCTCAGAGCTGAGGCTTTTCTCCTTGTATCTTTGCAGGAAAGCAGAGCGGAGGGAGCGTCTGTGGTGAGATGCTCAGGTGAAATTGCCTTCCCTGCACCAGCAGCCTGTTTGTGTCCATGTGATGCACGGTGAGGAGAAGCCTGCAGTTCTGTGAGTAAGCCTGGCAAATGGAATAATGGCTGTGGCCTTTTTGGCAAGTGTGTGAGGAGGGGTCTTTGGACAGGCTGCTCTTTTGTTGGTTTATTTTTGCAGGGAAATTCCATTTCAGTTGTTAGTTGCAATGGTTGGTTGGTGCTTGATTGAAAAATATTGGTCATCTAGACAAGCAGTGCTCTCACACCAGAGAAGTGAGAAATCTCCTGTGCATCCAGTCTTCTCCACGAGCTTTCCATTTAGAGACATTTAGTGCCTCTAAATGCCTGTAGAAGTGGTGGGGGGATAAATGGGGAAGAGATGAGGTGCAGTTTCTGTGCATGCTCTGTGCACGGAGCAGGCATCACCTGCTGCGAGCTGGGAGCCCTGCAGAGCATCGTGGATTTGCTTTCCTTCCTTGTTGGAGCGCGGTGCTTTTGTAGGTGCTGTGTGCATTTGAAGTAACTGTGAACTCTGCTGAGACACCAGGTGTCCTAGAGAGAGCCCAAGGTCCTTAGTTCAGTGAGGGCCTTTTTTCTCCATCTCTCAGTTTTTTCTTCTTTTCTCCCTGTTAGTGTGACATACCTGGCCCGTCAGATAATTCAGAAGGGAGAGGTGCCTTCTTGTGAAGCTGTGGCAGGTGGGTGCATGCACTTCACTGCTGGTATGAAAAAGTTGAAGATGCCTGAGCTGTGGGAGAGCTTTGAGAGTTGGATGGAGAGTTCTTGACCAAGGAAGAGCCCTTTGATCCCAGCCCCCTGGGGAGAGGTTAGGATTGCTGAAGGAGGAGAGGATTCTTTGAGTGATCTCAGGGGTCTAGGAAGGGAGCTGACAGGTTTAGGGTTCCTTGGCCGTGCTCTGCCCAGGCTGTGACAGTGCTGGGGTTCGATTTTGAGTCACTTGGAAGACAAAATGAGACAAAGGGTTTTTTGTGCAGCCTGAAACCCTGCAACTCTGCTGTAGGGGCTGCAGCCCAGGGTAGGTGCCCTGTCTCCACAATTGCTGACCACGCTCTTCCCTTCTCCACAGTGACCACGGCCAGCCCATGAAGCTCCAGTCATCAAGACCCCGTATGTCATGTCCAACGCCATCTGTCTGCGCTGCCCTTGATAGCTGAGGCTACCTCATGTCCTCTCAAACTGCCAGGCACGCAAGCTTCCTCCTCCTCCACCAGCTCTCCCACTGGCTCTGACACCTTTGCCACCTCCCATGTCGTGTGGTGGAAATGCATGGTGCTGGGGCAGGCCCAAACTCCCACCCTGACAGCAGGCACGTTTCCAAAAACTCTGCTCACTTCCTCATCCTGCTGGCTCGTGAGAAGATCCTGTTGTCAGCTCTGCCAACCAGCACAGCAGAGGTGGGATAGTTACAGGCAGCCTGGAAAACAGCAGGGGAATAACCATTTCCCCCTTTGGCTGTTATCTGTTGAGAAATGCTGTCTGGTGAGCATTGAGTCAGGGCCTGAACCACTGATGGAGCATCTGGGGAACGGACCCAGTCAGCCCTGGGAGCACAGGTGAGGGCAGTTCAGTTGTATGATGGAATGAGGGGAGCCTGGCTGCACCTCTCTTAGACCTCATTGAAGGGCTGACTCTGCATGGGCAAGGATCTCTGGTTGGAGATCCCTCCCTTGTGGAGTTTTCCCTGTGAGCCTGGATCTTCAGGGACAGGTGAGCACTTTCCTTTGTCTTTGTAACGCCTTTCTGTTGTGCTAGTCCCTTTGTGGTTACACCTTCTTCCACTGCACTGATCATTCTGGTTGTTACAGATGGCCTCTGCCCCTTCCCACCTGTAAAGCAAACAAGGTGATGACAGAGCCTTTATTTGAGATATAGGAGCTATAGAGCAGGATATCAAAGAAAGAGGAATCGACTCATCCCTCCCAGCAACAGTTTGGAAGAAAGTGGTGAGCTGAGGAATGCAGCCTTTTGCGTTTGAACTGCAGTGTGCTGAAAGGTGAAAGGGGGCTGAGAGGTGGGGGGGGAGACCTGTGCAGGCTGACTGTGTGTGTGCTGCTGGGAGCACTGCTGAGATGGAGAGAGGAAGGCTCCCCGCTCGAGGTACTCGTGTGCTCACGCAGTGGTTCAGGCTGTGACCTGGCAATTCCACTGCACCACCTGTCCTGCACTGTCCATGTGCCACCTCCAGGTGTTGCCCAGCTGTTGGGGGACTCGCTGTGACCTCCCTGTCTCACCAGTGCCTTGTGCACTGGACTTCACAGCATCTTGATGGCGAGTAGTGGTCCTCTGGAGATGCTGAGCAACAGTTGTGAGCTGCGCCCTTTTCCTGGACCGGTATCCCAAGCCCTTCTCAGCCCAGAGCCTGTCTCTCTCATCTGGTGTTCTATGGAGAAGTCAGCAAGATGGGACTTTGCCAGCCAGCTGGTTTCAGCTTCACCACCCAAATGACAGCAGGGCAGTCCTGCAGCTCATGGCAGCCCTACGGCTCTGCTCCTTTGCCAGGCTGGAGAGCTGAATCAGCTCCGATTCTGCAGATCCTTCCCTGAGTCCTGCTGCTAAGCACCGATACTTGTGCATCCTCTGGGCCACATCAGGACTAGAAAGAGGAGTAGACATCAGGCGGAAGGATCTGGCCTTCTGCTGGTGATAGCCACCTGCATGGCCTGTTCCTGCTTTCTCTTTTCCCCAGGAGGCATGTGGGAAAATTTGTAAGTTTTCCCCAAGCAGTGCATGGACCTCTCTGATGGGAGTGAGCAGCAAGGAGCCGACTGGGTCTCAGCTTCCTTCCTGCCCTGCACTTGACTGAGGGACCCTGCAGCCAGCTCAGAGGTAAGAGGTGGCCATGGGCCCAGCTTTGCCAGCTTTCACTGTGAAAGGGAGCAGTTCAGGGAAAGACACAGCCTGGGTAAGCCTGAGCTTTACTCTAGCATCTGAGGGAGCTGTGGACATCAGCTGTGGACACGACTCATAACGGTGTTGGTCAGCTGTGGATGCTCAGTGTTCTTAAGCAGCCCAGCTGTATCTCACAGGCTGTAGTCACAATTTCTCTGCGAGGCTGAGATACTCTGAGGATCATGGCATCTCTCATTTTGCTCTCAAGCTCACAGTCTCTGAGGAATGACTTGAGCCCTGTGCCCACATCCTCGCTCATGTGCTGGAGTCACCTTTATGCATTTTGGTGCCAGGGCTCTTGGGGCAAAACATGCCTGGACACTGCCACACATGTAATGCCTTTCTGCGGTGCACACTGGAGGATGCAGAACTGGCTGGGTCTGTGATGCTTTATGAAGCTGGTCTGACCTATTTCAGCAGCAGTGAGAACGCTTCTCACCTAGTCTAACCCTTAGAGCAGCATGGAGTGAAGGGTGCTACCTGGGGATAAGTCTTTTTTTCTACTTTCTATCCCAAGTCCTTTCCTTTCTACGGAAACAGCAGAAGTGTTCCTTCAGAGCTGATTTACCCCTGCTGTGTTTCTTTTCACTTTTTGTGGATGAGCAAGTGCCCCTTTAGGGATGAGCATCTCTTTGCTCCTTCCATTCTACAGCTCGTAGCAAGGTGCCCAGGACACCCCATAGTTGTGGGGAGCAGCTGGCACAAGAGAAGTAAGTCCTGAGGCTGCAGCAAAGATTTTGGGTCATTTGCAGTGGCTCAGTGGGAGCTTGCAGAGGCAAAAAGCAGCTGGAGATGTGCTCTGCAGTTCTGTGCTGGTTTGCAGATTCCTCAGGAGTTGTCCTGGGTCACCTGGCTTCCACCAAGAGTGCTCCTCTTCTCTCCACAGATCACATCCCAGGTGCTGTCTGTTTGTCTGTGGTAGGTACCACAGAAGGAGGCCTCTCCGTGCCATTGTTGCAGTGATTTCAGTCTGTGGCACCCACATTTGGACACATGGATGCTCCATCTGGATGTTAATTTTCAGGGGGATTAAAGCTTGTTGGAATATGGGCTGTCTCTTTCCATAGTATATGCATTTTGTGCAGTTGAGTCTTGCAGTATCTCTATAATTCACTCTTCTGCCATGAAGTGGGATGGTGTAACGTCCTGTTCTTCAGACGAACTGAGAGTGCTGCCCAGATGGTGAATGAGACAAGGGATTCACTGGTCCTGACTGATAAGAATCCTGGGCAACAGTTAATAGGCCAGTATTTTCTGAGATAGAATTTATTATCATGCATTTGTTAATGTTTCTGTTAACGCCAAAGCACTCTGGGGTGTATTTTCAAACCAGGGTTTCCTGTCCTGCTAACAGACAGTGGGGTTTGTGCATGTACCTCCATGGGCTCACATGGAAACATACGTCAAGCATCAGAAGATTCCTGGGTGCGTGTTTAAGACTTAATGCGTTCTCTAAAGACTGAAATGGGATTTTCCTGATGTTGTAAGTTCTGATCTTATGGAATGTACGTACTGGGAGAAATTACTCCTGGTGGCTGAAACAAATGCTGGAGTTCTTCAGTGCAGAGTTGTCATGGTTCTGGTCTGCCTGGTGCTACAGCGGAAGAGCCTGGGCTATTCTGGGAGAGAACCATGTTCACTGTATTTAAGCAGGAGAATGTCCCTGTGGTGTTATTCAGAAGAAAAGCTGTTCTAATCAACCTTACCTCAGGATCTTGTTTCTCAAATCCAAGCAAGACAGGACTGTGCATGCGTGTGCATTGCATATAATGCTGGCGTTTGGTTTTCATGAGATTCATAGATTAGTGCCTGCTTGCTCTGAAGTTGGCTCTTGGAATGCGATGATTCAGTGTCTCACTGACAGTGTGACAAGTAGGACTTGGTTCTTGCAGGTTTGTTTCCTTGCCCAGCTTTATTTCCACTGCTGGGCAACTGTCTCTGCAAGAGCTGCTTAAGAAAAGGAATGAAATGCACATTTTGCTGGAAAATTAGCACAGAGCTTTGCCCATTTCCTTTAAATGGAAAAGTGAACCTAACGTGCCTTGCTGTTATCAAGGGATTTGTTTGCTGGAGGCAAGCTGATAAATGGTGCCTGGGGCCTGTGGGCACAAATAGATCCCAGTTTCCTGTTCATGCAGCAGCCTTTAAATATTGCATTGGCAATATTAGTAAGGCCAGACAGATCCAGGGATGTCTGTGCCCAAGGCTTGAAGTAACGCTGGAGAAAAGCAAAACAGCTGACTTAAAAAATGTGTGCTTAGAAGCTGGGAAGTAATGAGAAGTGGAAGCCTCTGTTCTCATGGCAGTTCTGCTGAGTAATAATCACTTGGCAAACTGCAGCAGCATGGCAGGGAAGCTCAGGGCTGCAATTTAGGGAGAGGATATTGAGGGAGGCTAAAGGCTTTGCTAATGCTTGGCTGGATGTAAGAAATGTTCTGTGTTAAGAACGTGTTTTCTATGTCAGTGGTCCACAGCATTTGAGGTACTTAACTCAGTGCAAATGAGAAAAGCTGATGCTTTTTGTCTACTTGGTAGTGGAACAAGGAAAATTGAGGAAGGTTTTTGGAACAACTTTATTCTTCACATCTTTCCTGGAAAAAAAAATAATTCAGGTGGCCTGGGCTCTCTGTCATTTATTATTTCTGAGCCCTTGGAGCTGGATTTCTGCTCTTGGCTTTTCACAGGAGATTGGGCCAACAGAAAACGGGTGATCCAGGAGCTCAGCTGGGTCCAGGCTGACCTGCTGTTTAGTAAGTCCTCTCCAAGCTCAGTTACAAACTTCAGTTTTCTTCTCCAAGTTACATTTGTCTGAGTTAAGCAAGCACTGAAGCAAATCTGTTCACCTCTGTTTTTCTTTCTATGCTGCTCTTTCATTTCTGGACCTCCTGTAAGAATGACCACATGCTTTGCTTTTCACTGATTCTGGGGTATCACAGTGAAATTTTTCAGTCACTTATCTTGTTGTGAGTCATAGTTAAGGATGGAGGAGCTTTTCCTCCCTGCATATCTGCTGCTTTCCTGTCTTTCAATAGAAACCCCCTTGTGAGCAATGTAATGGCTCAACCCTTCCTGCTGAGCAGCACGGTGGGTTGTGGTTGAGTGCTGACACAGTGACTGTGCAGGGTGGGCTGGTGCAGCACACAGCTGTGATGGCTCTGTTCCTTCACTGATCCAGGCCTTTTTCAACTTAGTTACATTATTTTGGTTGTCTTTTGTTTTTTAACATGATGTGCAAATGTAACGACCTGAAACACGAAAGAGAAGAGCAAACCAAAACTGCTCTTGGCTGTGTCCAATGTGTAATTAAATGAGTACCTAAGAGATTTAAAGTGGTCTCTGGATTGCTGCTCATCTCATTTCACACTGCCTGCAGTGTTTTCACTTTCAGTGCCCTTTGGCTCTGGTTCTTAACTCTATTATACAGGCTCCCACTTCAGATCTTCTT